TGGCAAATGGAAGGGCCTGAGTTCAATCCCTGGTTCTGCAGAGAGAGAGAGAGAGAGAGAGAGAGAGAGAGAGAGAGAGAGAGAGAGAGAGAATTTAATAACCAAATTAATAAACATAGCAGGACACAAAGTCAACACTCAAAAATCAATAGTGTTGGTCAAGTGTGGTTACATACACCTATAATCCCAGCACTCAGGAGGCTGAGGCAGGAGGATGAATCACTGTGAGTTTGAGGCAGCCTATACTACCTAATGAGACGCTGTCTGAAAAAATCAATATTGTTCTTGTACATCAACAATAAACTCACTAAGTAGGTGTGTTGTGCATCTCTTTAATTTGAGCACTTGGAAGGCTGAGCCAGAAGGATTGCTGTGTGTTCTAGGACAGCCTATGCTACATAGTGAGTTCAAAGCTGGCATGAGCTATGTAGTAAGATTCTGTCTCAAATAAATAAAAGCCAAAGTAACTCACTCACTGAGAGAGAAGTTCATAAAGCAGCATTTCTAAAAATAGCTTTAAGAAAAAGGAAACTTAGGAATTAACTTAGTTAAGGAAGTCAGAGAACTCTACAATGAAAACTAGGTCTCTGGAAAAGGAGATTGACTTCAGAAAATGGGAAGATATCCCCTATTCCTGGATAAGTGAATCAATATATTCAAAATGGACATCAATCTAAATCTGATAAATATAGTTAATAGGATGCCAGTCAAAATGCCAATAGCATTCCTCATGGAACTACAGAAAACAATTCCAAAATTCATTAGGTACCAGAAGAAACCTAAAATAGCAATTGCACTATGTGCCTGCTTTGGCAAGCACAGGGACCAGGGTTTGATCCCTTCCCTGCATGCCATACCGGCCTTGCCCCTAGGGTGTGCTGAGCCCAAGACTGAGTCCGGGGGTGGTTGCACACCCTTGTAATCCCAGCACTGGGGAGGCTGAAAACAGGAGGATTACCATGAGTCCAACCTGAGTAGTGAGACCCTGTACCAAATAAATAAATGAAAATAAATAAATAAGTAAAATAGCAAATGCAATTGTGGGCAGCAAGAGCAAGACAGAGGCAGTGCAATGCCAGACTCCAAATCACACTATCAACTTTTAGTGATAAATGTAGGGGGTCACGGAAGCTGGAAAATCAGTCAAAGGTGTATAGGTGGGACTAGGCCTCAGTGCCTACAGCTACCTCAGTCCTGAGATAAACATCTTGTGTGTGTGTGTGTAACCAGGTATTGAACTCAGGTCCTTGCACTCTCCAGGGAAGTGCTTATTCTACTGAGCCATCTCCCTGGCCCCTGAGATACGCATCCTGACTGGTTAATGTTGGCTATTAATCACTAGGCAACCTCGTGTCATATGTTACTAACTTTGCAAAATGTATACATGAACAGGTTTCACTGTGCTGGTGAGTCAGTCTTGTCCATCAGGCAGACTACTGACCACCTAGCCCAGCTTTTGTTTTCTTGTCTACCTTTCTCCTTCCTGTTGCCGTGTCGTGTCTGCCCGGGTATAACTGACTGTTCACAGTAAGACCAGGGGATCCCTACAGATAAGAACAGCACAGTATTGAAGAACAAAGCAAAATGAAAGAAAACAAAAAACAGACTGTGGAGCAGTGGAAGAGAACAGAGGATTCAGAAACAGCTCCAGGCACATCCAGGTACCTTATCTGTGGGGCCATAACCCTTTGCTGGAGGAAAGGCAGTTTCCTTAACAGACAGTGCTGGGAAAACGAGCTTTCCAGACGTCAGAGAGTGAATCTAAACTCACATCTCATCATGCACTAAACTAAAATCAAAATGGATAAAAAATCTAGACTAAAACAGAAACAATTACTGCTGGAAGACAAAATATGTAAAGCTCATAAAAGTGAAGGTTTAGGCAAAGACTCTCTGAACAGACCCCAAATGCACAAGAAATAATATCAAAATCAACAAATGGGATCACATCAGGTTAAAAAGTGCATGCACAGCAAGGGAAACAACCAACAGCGTGAAAGAGCCCACAGAGTGGGAAAGTGCTTTGCCAACTCCTCTTCAAAGGACGAATATCTAGACCATAAAGCACTTTTAAGCAAGAGGCCACACAAGTTTTAGAGGAAGTACAAATGGCCATTCAATACTCAGAAAAATGTTCAACATCTCTGGCTATTTGAATAATGCAAATTAAAATACCAGCAAGATTATATCTCGGGTTGGCCAGATAGCTCAGCGGATTAAAGCGCCTGCTTAGGTAGACTTGGGAACCAGGTTCGATCTCCATCCTACCTGTGCTGGCCTGGCCCCTGGGGCACACTGAGAGGGTGACTGAGACTGGGTGTGGTGGCCCACGCCTTACACCCTAGCAGTTGGGAGGCTGAAAACAGGAGAATCACTACGAGTCTGATCTGTGTAGTGAGCCTCTGTAGACCCTGTACTAAATACTTAGAAAAAAAAGAAAAAAGATTATATCTCACTCCAGAAAGATAGGCTACCTTCAAGAAACCAAATAACGGCCAGTCTTGGTGGCACAAACCTGTAGTCCCAGCACTTGGGAGGTTGAGGCAGGAGGACAGTCGTGAGTTTGAGACCAGCCAGGTCTACAGAGTAAGCTGAATTGAACTGCATAATGTGACACCCTGACTCAAAAACACAGGGGGGGAAAAAAAAGAAAGAAAAAACCCCAAATAATAACACATGCTGGAGAGGCCGCAGGGAAAAACGAAACTCCTTCACTGCTGGTACAACCATTATGGATAACAGTATGGAGATGTCTCAACAAACTAAAAGTAGAAATTGCAGCTGTTCCTTTTCTAGCTACTATCCTAAAAGAGTTAAAGACATCACACTACAGTGAAACATGTATACCCATGTATATGACAGCACAATTCACAGTAGCTAAATCTTGTCCATCAAGAAATAAATGAGTACAGAAAATGTGGTATGTATACACAATGGAGTACTACTTTGCTATAAAGAAGGATAAACTTGAGTGACCTGTAGGAAAATGGGAGAATAATAAGAGGAGTAAATTAGATACCTGAGCTTAACAGTAAATGGCTTCTCTTGCATAAGAAACCATATATAAGCAGACTAAGGGGGCTGGGGAGATGGCTCAGTAGAATAAGTGCTTGCCTGGCAAGCTCAAGGGTCTGAGTTCAATCCCCAGTCCCCCCCCCCAAAAAAA